GGAGGTTATGAAAATAACCAACCAACAGCAGCAACATCCAACGCCAATCACCATCAACGGGAGGGATTTGAAAGAGGTTACTTCATTCACTTATTTAGGGAGCATTGTCTCAACTACAGGAGGAACGGACGAGGATGTCAAATCGACATCAACAACAAAATTCGGATTTTCAATACAAACATCAAGTCAGTTTTGCTATACGGATCAGAAACTTGGCAGGTCACCAAGAATATTTTCAACAGGTTGCAAACCTTCATCAACAACTGTCTTCGTTCTATACTGAAGATTAGATGGCCGGAAAGAATCACAAACAAGAAGCTATGGGAACAAACAAAACAGGAACCAATTGCCCAACAAATATGCAGGCGAAAGTGGAGATGGATTGGACACTCGCTGAGGAGGCCGTTGGGTGACATCGCGCGTCAGGCCAACGCTCGAGTGGAACCCGAAAGGGAAGCGGCGAGTGGGGACGTCGAAGGGTGACATGGAGGAGATCGTATAAAGAGGAGCTGAAACAGTGTGTACCAACATGGATGCAAGTGAAAATCACAGCACAAGACAGAAGCAAGTGGAGGCGTGCAGTTGAAGCCCTATGTCCCACTAGGAACCCAAGGGAACCATAATAATAATATCTGTTGTGCTCAACAGTACCAAGTTTTCTTAGTAACTATCGGACTTTGTCAGCATCATCAAACATGTGGCATTCAATACGGAAAACGTCTTCATAACAATTGAACCATGCATCAAATACGAGACCAGATATTGGGTCGTAGTTGAACTCACTGATGGAATTTGAGATGCTTTCATATTTGTCTGAATGAGATGTTGTTGGAACTTGAATGGACAGCTTCTGAGTGAGAAATTCGATTAATTTTAGTTGAGCTGCTTCATTCTGAACTTGCTGCTGCAAGATAGATTTGAGATCGTCCAGAGAGATAGACATTGTAATTGGGTTGTAATTAACACAGTCAAAAATGTTCTATAGCTGCGCTGAACAGAATAAAACTCGTCGTCGCTTGCTTGTTATAACTGCAATGAAATAAAGTAAACCCCGTCGCCAATTTGTTATAACGGTAGGGGAATTAAATGAGGACGTTGTCGCCTTGTTCTGTCTGCGCCTGACTAATATATCTATCTGCTTCTGGTACCTTCCGATTCAGCGAACCACGTAAATATCAAAAGACAAAGTCTGGTTTGTGACTGTGTATTGTAGTACAACAACTACGACAAACTACGACTACGACAAAGAAACTTATTTAGGAAATGGTATATATACATTTTTACAACCAATACAGACAGCTAACAGTATTTGAAATAATTGGTCGTAATAGTCAATAACAAAATGCGTGGGAAATGATGATATACCACTTATGCGAGATTAACAGTCGTTAAAATAATTGAACAATAACAAAGTGCCTGGGAAATGATAATATACCACTTATGCGAGATTAACAGTCGTTAAAATAATTGAACAATAACAAAGTGTGTGGGATCCTATCACAAGAAGAGGAGGGGATGTAGACTGTGTCCACTTCCCTGTGCAAAAGCTTTCGTGATAAGATGGAAGACCTTCACAAAACCTGAGGGCAGGCCGCAATTCGAAATCGATGCTCAGGAACTAAAAGAAGAGGCCAGCAGTTACACTTTCACTGCAATCATCACGAAAAGTTTGATGCTTTCAGGAGAATCACAGACGGAACCTGAGCAGAATAAGATTGTAGCTTTCTGTACGCGACACGAGAAGAATCCTGTAAAAACATTTTCAGGCAAAAAGAAAATGAGAGTCAAGGAATGATCTTCTATGAGAAGGTGAAACCTGGTACAGGAGAGGAGCTTGGTGAAGCAGAAGATGAACAAGTGCACCGATAATTATCACCTACATAACAAGCAAGAAAGGAATGAAGAATAAAGCTGAGAAAGAAAAACGGCAATGTTACGACACGCAGTTAAATGAAGCGGAACAGACTGCACCGAATAAGGAACTCAGAACACCATGTCAGATAGCTGATTCGCTATCCGGAAGGATGTAAACATAGATGAAGTCAACAAGAGATGGTGAAGTGGTGCGAAACAAATGAAATAATAATTATAATATATTCTCATTTTTGTGCATGAGGGACGCCAGTTTACAGGCACCATCAATTCGATAAATTACACATATGATTAGTAAGCATAGTTAGTAATGATAATATAATAAGGTACATATTTATTCCTACCTATGTAGGACCGCCAGTTGTATAGGCTTGGATAAGTATTATTTAAATTGCATGATTTACGGTCAAATTACATGGTTGCTGTCATTTTGTCTTTCGTTTGTGCCAAAAATCTGATAACTAGTGATTCAATGGACCGCATCAAGAAATATAGAGATATTGACTTCGCGTTAACAAAAAAACCCAAGTATGTGTTGGATGGATTACAGATACTTGGTGGCACAGTGGTTAGGACTCTCACCGACCATGCACATAGTCCGGGGTTCGATTCTTTGCCGACTCACACCCGGTATCAATGGTCGGCCTGCAAAATTTGGGCTACCGATATCACATGCGGAAAATTCCATACTTGTGCCAAAAATACAGTGTTGAATCAAGCTATAACAAAAAAAATCAAAAATAAATAAAGCTTGAAGTCAATTCCCTCATATAACAATGAAATGCATCTTATAATAACATATTCTCACTTTATGCTCATGAGGGACTCCAGCTGACAGGTATCATCAATTTGATAATAATGTATACATGGAGTAGGCATGTTTAAAATTTTTCCCTGACACAAGATATATACAAGGGAAGGTAGTGGAATAATGACGGTAAGCACACTTAGCATAAGTTAAAACGATTTATATGGTATAATCCTAGGCACCGTTATTGTTTGAATTTGCTGAAAGTGCGCGTAACAACTGAGCGTTGCCTTACATTTGGTCGATATGGTGGGCTACTCACAGAAGTATGAAAGTGGCTTATAAAACGTTAGTTAGTTTACCGTAAACGATTTTTTAAGCAATATAATGATATAATGATGGGGTGATCGCCACAAGGGACTCTGAAACTGACCACCACCATCATCCGTCCAGAAATACCGCCAACAACAGTCGTAGGACTGCCAGTGCGGAGGAGTTTTACTTACTATCATATAACTGTACTCATTTACGTTCCTAGTGAAGTGTAGGGCGTCAAGCTAGAGCTTTGAATTTCCTGTAGCGATAGTATTATTTTGACATGGTGGGGTTACCCAAACTTACTAGAGGCTGGAAGAGATTTGGGAGTGCGTCGGCCGAAAATTGAACCCCGGATCATGTTGGTGAGTATTCTACCGCCAAACAATGTTTTGGCTAAGTTGGAATCCTGGGCGTTGATAAGGCATATCCCCTGTTTGAAGTGGCGCCTCCAGCTTTACCTTGAGGACATTTGCGCGGTCTAGTTGATTTGAGTTTGGCTGATTCGTTTCGTTTGATCTAGGTATCTGCATTTGACGTGATTCCGGTTTCTGTTTGGCTTGAACTGTATTGATTTTGTTAAGAATAGTCGTCAAAAGCTGCCTCTAGGCCTGAAGGCAGTTATGGTGCAGGAGGATGCTTGAGAATGTGTTTCATGTGAAAATTATAGGGTGCACCTAAAATCCTCCTGTTTGTGGCGTCTCAATGATTTCTGTAGAGCTTCGTTTCTTCACTTGTGTCCATTTTTGTCGTTCACGAGTGTTTCAGTAAATGTTTATGGCTATAATCAGGAACTTTCCAAAACGGTAACTGTGGTAAGGAATTTATATTTTTTCCGCTATAGTTTCCAAATCAATGTCTCTTTTAGGTTGCTTACTGTACTCTGTTGGCTATTCGTGAATTTTTTATTGAAAAGCTTCTTTTTTCATTTACAGTGGTACCGAATGGACGCATTGGCACTTGGAGACAATGGCAACCAACCTGCCCTTCCTATATCAGTGGATATCAAAAAACTCTTTGACGGAATTATGTTTAGTCATCGGTATACCAGTTGGGTTCAAGTAGAAGATGCTCTAAGTCAGCTGGAATAAGTAATATATGTAAATGTGTATGACAGAGTATTCCTAGGCAACCCATACACATTATGTAATCAAAAAGTGCATACGGGACCATGAATCTCAGGAGTTGAAGTACAAATTAGTAGTCTTTCGTTGTACAAATGGCATGAAGCGAAAAACTAGAGGTTCAGGTTTACGCGTCGAGCCGTAAGAATTCTACTATTTATTTCTGCAGTGCAAAATACACTGGTTGCCAATCTGGCTTTTGTATACGCTACAGGGAGGACGAGTTTATCATTTGTTCCGCGAAAACAGTTCACAATCACAAATGTGAAAAAAGTCTTATGATAGGTGATCCATATTTTAGACGCCTGTCCGGGGATGAAAAGGAGAATATTGCACCAGTTGTGAAGACTACATCTGAGGTTGGTGATGTTTTGGAATATGCTGAAGAGAATTTTAATAAAATTTTGACGAGCACAGATGTGTATAATTTACGTAAGGATATGAGACCAGGTAATTGAAGTATTTTAAAGTTATTTTTGAAGCCATGCCTTTGAGATCAGATGTTATGCGTATAATAAGGCAAAGCGGTCAGGTGGTTGAATACGTGGATTCGAATACAGGGATAACCAGTAGAATTTGCTTCGCCCTGGAATCACAGGTTCAGTTATATCGGAAATATGGAGAGGTGGTGTGTATTGACTCAACATACAATACCAATAAGGACGGGTAGGTTATACGTGAAACGGTTGACAAATCTTAATCAGATATTCTCTGTTTCAGTTGGTGGTAACAGACAATATGGTTCATGGCAGGCCTGTTTTTTTGGCATGGACGAGACGAGAGAGATCATGTGATGTAGCTTGGATATTGGAACAATTCCAAAGAATAATGCAGGATACGTCCATCACAGAAACTTTCGTAATGGATTCGGCCAACTGTGAGATATCCGCCGTGCGTAATAGTCAAATTCAGGCGAAAATCGTCATCTGTGCATTTTATGTATGCCGGGCTTTCAGCAGGAAGGTGAGGTGAATGTAATTAATACTTGGTGCATTTAGACTCGAAATCCTTTTGTACACAGGTTTTTATATCGTCTTGTTAAAGCTACGACACCTGAAAGGTAAATGCATTGATTTCTAACCGTTTAGATTTCATCACTACCTTAGTGTCATTAGGACGGTTGATCGGAGGGTGTGGAATTATGTCAGGCATAACTGGGTGCCTAGGAAGGAGACGTGGGCTGTGGCATATATGCCGAATACTCTGTTGCTGTTTAGTAGTACCAACAATAGAGTTGAAAGCTCTCACAGTCACCTAAAACGATATCTCCATAGAAGAGATCCCCTACACGTATGCATGTACAAGACGTATAAATGGTGTGTACGCACAGAGAAGCGTCGTAGTGTTGAAGTCATCGTCGAAAGTTGTCGGATTCATAAGTACCACGCACCGGAACCAGTTATGCCGATATTAGGAAACTTCACTCCTTATGCCGCTAAGTTAATTGCCAAGGACTATGGCCGTAATCGTCGGATGAACATAGAGTTGTATACTGATGATACGGCTATCATAAATGACGGCATATACCTGCACCAAGTGGATTATACCAATTCTACTTTTACCTGCAGAATATTTAGGGCACAGAGACTACCTTGCCGGCATATAACTTTTTTTTTGATTTACAGCTTGATTCCACACCGTATTTTCAGTACAAGTGTGGAATTTTCAGCATGGATATCGGTGGCCCAAATTCAGGCCGACCATAGATATCGGGTGTGCGCCGGCAGGGGATCGAACCCCGGACCATGTGCATGGTCGGCGAGAGTCCTAACAACTTTGCCACCGACGCACAGAAACTTATGTGTGAAACCACGCATTTTTTTCTATGGGTTTGAACTTTTGGCTGACAACAATTGTCATTTGAAAGATAGTAGTAAACGATACTTTTCTTCCTTTGTACAAGCCTTATTTTTCTCCACTTCTTCAAATGAACAGATTTACATATCTATCATCAAGTCACCAATCCTAAAAATGCTTTTACTAATGTATGTGAAAATTGTACGGGAAAAGAAACAATCCTCAGCTTAAGTCATCATGGTTTTTCATTACTAATAAGTACATTCGGATTCGCTGCAGTACTATGAGTAAAGTGTTTTTATTTTAGATACAGCTATTAATACATATTCCATTATTACAATTGTGCCTTATGAATAAATGAAATAATGTAGTTCACTATTCATACACGGGTGTTTACGGAATTTTGACTATTGATTTCAGCTCAGTGGTATTCAAACCCGGATTTAACTACACCGGGACAGGTGAGCAAATAATTGCATACGTCTTTACACAAAATGTGTTGACTTCAGCCTAGTACATTTAAAAAACCTCTGTTACTTTGTACTGGTAAGAACTGCATTATCAAAGAACTGCTATGTCACACTCAAATTCCTTAGTTTACAGGTAAATCAAACTCTTACTAATATTTCAATTAATATTTTTAGTTGACAAAGTAATTCGCCTGTGTCGCAGATGGTTTTGGCAGGATCCGTTGCTACCAAGTCGTGTGCCGTGTGAAGGTTCAGTGAAGAAACCCTGCATGGAGATACTGCAACTTCGCAGGCAATTGAACAGAAGCTTCGCAGTTATGCAGGATAATTATAGTAATGAATATACTATTAGTGCACTGCGAGCAACTCTGAATTACTTTGAGAACTTTCTTGTATAATAATGGAAGATGTACATAAATTTTGTGTCAATAAATGCAAATATACCCTAACTTCTAAACTGCATACGCCTTATGTTTTACCGTTTCATGTGACAGAAGTCTAATAGTCATTTGCGAATATAGTAGAAAGCATTTTGTAGAGAGCAAGTAAAAGTGAGAACTAGGCGGAATCTCCAGTACTTAGTATGAGAAGTAAGGCGAACGTTTTTTTCTTGTAAGTACGCAATGAAAAGATAATGAGTTTTTGTAACTAGCATTGTATTTACTATGTAGGTAATGTTATTGCAGGCATACATTGCTATCACGTGTCTAGTCTGGCGTATCGCCGCATGAGTAACACCAATTGTAGCGTTTTCCAGTCAGTGAAATTTCGACTTTTCGTACGTCAAACTTCGCGGAAGGTAGACGAAATTAAAGACTGCTTCCAGACGATCCGTACAACGGCACCTTAGGCAATGTCTACAAAGACAAAAATAAGATAATTAGAAGACACGTTAAAATGCATAGGTAAATAAGTCAAGTACTGTTTTGGAATAAGGGAGATTACTAGTATTATGACAAGGTCTTCAAATCATTTCATTTCTTTCGACTGCTACCATTTCTTGCGTCAGCATTACTTACTTATAGTTCACTGTAACTTCTTCGTTGCACCCTATTTACACAGTGCAAGGAAATGAGAAAATGAGTGCAATACTTAGGATACAGCAATAATAAGGGTATAAGCAGATTAACACTGCAGCGAGGTGCAACAGTAATAATAATTTGCTTTGTTTGAAAACAGTATTAATGTTTCAGTGTTGAATTCGCAGCATCTCGTACATTATTGTATCTCATTTTATGAAGTAATAATATCTCCAAGGTATTTCATGTTAGACTTAGTTTATGTTTCTGTGATACAAACATCTTGCGAATGATACATGAGTATTTCAGTTATGCGTACTACTGTACTTAGAACACAAGATATAGATAGGTTTTTCGAACACATCAACTCGAAGGTTGAAGCAATTCAATTCACTTATGAATTGGAAAATCAGGAAGGGGAGCTGCCAATGTTAGATTGCAACTTAAAGAGGAAAGAAGATGGGAAGTTAAACACTAGTGTTTACAGGAAACCCACACACTCAAACAGATATTTGGACTTCCAATCATCACATCCTATGTCAGTAAAAATAGGATTGGTGAAATGTTTAAATGACAGAGCACAAAAATTAAGTAGTACCAAAGAAAATCTAAAACAAGAACTGATACATATAAAAGAAGCCTTAAAACTTAATAATTACCCGGATAAATTAGTCAGGAAATATGTAAGGAAATATAAAACTAAAATAAATAATAATAATAGCGATAGTGATAGTAACAATAATAATGATAATAATAGTGACAATAATAATATTTATGACGACACCAACAATAAGGAATCTAAATCATCAGTAGTAATTCCATACAAGGAAGGAACCTCAGAAGCTTTACGCAGAATTCTCAACAAGGCAGGAATAAAAACGGCATTCAAACCCACAAACTCAATTAGAAACAAGCTTTGTCGGCTAAAGGATCCTGTAGAGCCTTTAAAACAAAACAATTTAGTTTATCTAATACCCTGCAATGATTGTCAGGTCAAATACATAGGTCAAACTAGTAGAACAGGGGCAGTCAGACTAGCTGAACATAAAAACCTAGCAAAATCTAGATTAGTTGACCCGAATAAGATAAGAAATTCAGAGAATAGTTCAGCTATAGCACTACATGCAGTCACACACAACCATACAATAGGATGGGATAGGATGACAGTTTTAAAATCTAATGTCACAGGGTATAGGGAGAGATTGATAACAGAAGCTTTGTTTATTGAATCAACTGCAAATACATGTAATAGGAATGATTCATCACCTGTCCCCGATATATGGAAAATTCTACTCCCCCTACGACAAATTGGAGAAAACAAAGAAAGCTATAAAACTCAAGTGTCAAAGTCGTGTGATCACAATTGATATGATTATGAACAATAAATTTTGTTCGAAACGTCATCCAGTAAATAATACTGTTTCACTGTGTGATATACCTAATAAACAAACTAATATGGAATGCGTACTAAAGCTTTAAAAAAATCACTCATCTAATTCACTTCTATTAGCACTAATTCTTATGTCCGTGTTACTGACTTTTGGTTTATGTTTTCTTCAGTGCACTTTATCTGGACAATTTAAGGAATTGGGAAATGCATTGAGTACTTAAGAAACGGCATTCATAATTGTTTGTGCCAATTAACACTGTAGTGAGTTGTGACACTAGGCAGCTGCAGTGACAAAGCCGACTGACTGAGTTTTAACATGGAACTCCGTGGAGAAGTGCAACTTTTGAGATGTAACGGGACAGAGTGTAAAAGTTATCTCAAGTAGGAGGAGAAATTATTGTAAGACAACTCTTTTTCAGTTAGACGAGAACCGAATAAAAAAATGCGATTATCATTTGTTGACATTTTGCTTATTTTTATCCACGTTTTAGCATTTCATTATACCTGGACTACAGATCATTCTGACAGACTGACTTTCAACATAGAAGCTTGCAAACAAGTGCACCTGTTTACGTTATCACATTCCATGTAGCACACAAAGGTAGAGAAAAAAGAAATCAAATGGAACTCTAATGAGCATAAATGTCATGGAAAACGAACACTGATATGGAAAAAACACGAGGGTTGTACAGATATGTGAGATTACACAGAGTGAATGCATCTGTCATTAACAACGTTCGGAGTCACATTTCTACTTAACATTAAGCTTAACCACAATATTACTCACCATATTGGACTACTTAACACAGGAGAAAGGGCACAGACACTACGATCAAAAACCAGTAGTCTTTTCATATCTTCCAGTTTCAATGGTCACTCCTCACAGTCTAAGTGGACAATATCATCAGATACACTAAGTTGACGATACTGTTCCACTATAAGTCCCTAAAGTCAATGACAGACAATTCTATTAATACATGTATGATGAAAGTGAACTGAAAGAAGGACGACAGTTGTAGAAATGAGCCTTGTATTATATCCTTCTTGGAAATATCAATTCCCTCATAGTTTAGTTTCAGTATTAAGTGAATGGAATGCAATCTACAGATTCATGAAATTCACATGCTGACGTACTACTTTTCTGGAATCATAGTTAATGTCTCCTCATTAAAGTGAGCAATGGGTATTGTACTTGTGTAAAATCAATAGGCTGTGAACCGCTGCCGATGAAAACGACAGAAATTCTTGGAATTATCAGTCATAATTTCAGCTGGATCACATGCAACACTCGGCAGTTGTTAAGTGGTCAATTCATGAACGTGGAATCCATACAGAAAGCGCAGAAGATTTAGTACAACATGCACACTCCTGATTTCACTATTCAGCATGCACGCCAAATGCATTACTTTAGGGGCCTACACACTTCACAAATTAACTCACAACACTGAAGTGGAGAAATTCATATTTGTCCTTACTGAGCTTAATATAGCGGTTCTTGTGAAGTAACTTTCTTATGCAGAAGAGAAGAGCAAGGTATTCATAATCTTTCGCTACATGTGGAATCGCAGTGCAACTCGATGCGCAACAGTGTATATGTGAATAAACTCAAAAATAAAGTCCTCCTGGTGACACATTGTGACATGATAGGAAGTGAGACGGTCAGATCACCAACGTATTTGACGAAGTTGCTCTCATTAGAAAGAGAAAAGTCATGTAAGACAAGAGAGAGAAAAAAGAAAAGGAGATATAACAGTACCCTGAGGAACACAACCTTCAGCAAGCAAGGCGGAAGATTTACCCTAATATACAGTATGCTGTATACCATTTGGGAAATGACAATGCAACCAATCGCCTGCACAGGACTCGTGTTTGCACGACCGAAACCTTACTCAACTAATATCATCTAGGTCCTTAGTCAATAACGGCATATGCTGAATAACTTAAAGCTTAGCACAAAAGTGATAAAGCACAAAAAACACTTGCAAAGTAGGAGACGGATCCCAGGTGGATGAGGAGGTTACTGAAAAATATTTATTTGTCATTTAGCAAAGAAGAAGATTAAGAACTGCAATTATCATTTGTTGACATTCTGGAGACCATTATTCAGTGTTCCGCATTTAGTTATGCCTAGCCTGTGTCATTCTGCCTGACTTTCAGTATGACTTCGCAAAGAAGTCCAACTGTTCAGTTTACGACATTCCATGCACAACACAAAGGTAGAGACATAAAACTAAATGGAAGTTTAACGAGCGAAAATTTGAGGGAAAATAAATAGTGACAACATGAGTTGAATAGATACGTGAGATTACACAGAGTGAATGCATCTGTGCCATAAACAAAGACTTGCAGACACATATCTAGTAGTTATTCTAGCTGACTGTCAACGATTTTATGAACCAATAGCAGTTTTTCATTCGACTGACCCAAACACATTTTGAACTTTAACATGAGCTGGCTAACATTATCCCTAGAGGAAGGCGATGGCTTGGTATGTAATCACGCGTTATAGCCATCTCAACCTATTCAGCTTCCCAACCTTGAAGACTAACTTACCCTCCTCACCTAACACTTTATGCGTAACCTCAAGAGCAATCGCCATATTATACTGCTTTAATCATGAGATCGAACACAGACACCTATAATCAAACACCGGTATTCTTTTCATATTTTCAATTGTCAGGGGTTACTTCTCATAGTCTAGGTGTACAGTATCATCAGCAAACTGTAGGCTGATGATGATGATAAGTCTCTAAAGTCATTTATAGACTATCCTACTGATATATGTGTGATTGGATTGAAATGATATAAGGATGACAGTTTAAGAATTCAGCCTTGTGTTACATCCCAATTGGAAATGTGTTTTCTCGGATAATTCGCAAACAGTAATCACTGAATAGGAAACATTCTGTAGAATTTGTGAAACTCATTAACTGACGCAATACTTTTGCAGGCATTATAGTGTTTCCTCAATAAAGCGAGATTTGTATATTTCGGTTGCATAAAACTAGTAAGTGGTATCCTGGCAATACCAATGACTACAACAAGTCTTGGAATTATGCACTACAACTTTTACTTTACTGAAAACTCTAGCAGATTTGAAATAAACACTTGACAAATATCAAATTTATACAGGAAGTCCGTAAGATTTACTAAACTAAAAGCACTTCCGTTTTACATAGGAGTTCTCCATGCCGAATTAATTCCTTTAAGGGCCTACACAGATTACAACTTCAATTAAGTAACACTGACGTGAAAGAAATTCCATTCTTCATTACTAAACTTAATGATAATAATAATGTTTTTATTCTAGAAACAGGAGCATTCCTAATGTTTCACTTTATGTAAATGCAGTTACATACAGTTGCACTAAGAACTCAATGCAACTCGGTGCACAATAGTATGTACACAAATAAACTGAAAAATAACGTCCTCCTTACCTTCTGAACAACTTTTCCTTATTACAGGTTACTAACTTTCTTTCACGTATGAGCCTGAGATATGTCTATGAAATCACAATATTATGCCAGTTAAATCTCGCCCCGAAACCAAGGCCACTTGAAACCAATAGCAGCATCGAGACAAACGTCATTGAGGGGATATGCAATAAAGTCGCTCGGAATCCTTGAGTTGCATAAAATTACTGAGTGCCGGAAAAGTAGCAGGGCAACATTTAACCCTTGCAGAAGCACTAAAACAGAACCTGCAGGTCCCAGTGAATATCCTGATGCCGCAAGCTTCGATAGTGTGGAGGGCAGGAATGGTGCCTACCAATTGAAAGAAGAGATACTTCGTCAAACTCTGAAACAAGAGCAGCTCACACCTTTTCAACAGCTGGCTTAAGACATTGCATCTCACTATCCTAGGAGATTTTCTGTGATCGCAAAGTTGGTCTCTGTATCTGCTAAAACCAAAATAATGCTGTCTTACCCTCTGCTGTGGAGTTTATTAATAGATCAAATGATAATGATCGTAAGCTCTGCATCCTGTGTGTCTTACTCTAGCACCAGTTTCACCTCTCTACTCACCTTCCATTCCCGCATGAAGTTGACTGACTATAAGTATATTATAGATTAAAATTTAGACTTAAACCAATATCTTGTAAATTATTTAATTAAAAGGAAATATCACAAACTTCTTATAAAGTTTCTAGAGTTTTTTCTTATTTTTCAATTTTCAATGTCATAAAACAGTGTTCCGTTTCAAACTGCACTTGCCAAATATGATCATGCCTGTAGAAACGGTATGTCGACCATGTAAATGCTTAATTTATGTGAATAAGATATTATTATTGAAAAAATTCAGAGATTTACTAGCAGAAACTAACGAGTTGACAAAAGAGGCAGCGAAATACGGGTCTTCAACTGATCATAAACAAGAGAGAGCTGATGGAGGTTCTTAACCGATGCCAAAAAGTAACAGTAACCACCACCAGGAAAAATCAACGACATATCACCTTTTTCACTCAAATGGCTAGACAGCAGAGTTTCAAATACAAACGGCACTGATGAAGATGTCAGTGTCATTCAGGATTGGATTAAGACAGGTGCTCCTTACTCTGAGATTCATTTGTGACTACGGGCCGTTTACGGTAATGGGGTCTGATCCGCTTCTTTAGGGTACCTTACTAACTTTACGTTACGACCTGAAAGGTATTTCAATGGAAGTGCAGTGAAACACATAAGACATGAACGTACTAGCTTATGATCTGAGAGTTTGACTGATTCAGTGACTGAATACACAAGTAATGAAGTAGTAATAATAATAATTTATATTTCGTATAAACGGTTAAGTTTACAAGAAATGAACTGAGTTTTGTGTGATTTATTTCTGTAGTGAGGCTGGATATGACTGAGAATCGAAGTGAATGGCGGATGTGCTGCAATTTTTCGTTTTTCTGTTTCGAAAAGCAATGCGTAGAGATGAATGCTCTTTTGAATTCTCCTTGATTATCGTTAAAGTGTCTTTGTATAGACAATTTTATGCTTTTGTCGTACAAAAATATTATTTTGGATAGAGAACAATGCACATTTCAGGAGCGATTGCCGTTAGCTACTGTTAAACGAACCCACTCAGTACCACTGAAGGTTGATAAGGCTCGAGCATTATGCGTCACCTGATAGAGTTATTGAAGATTAAGATATCTCAAGAAATCCGCAGATGACTGAGCCGGTCTGATTTCCATCTCCAGACTATGCTACGCCTAAATGGTAGAATGTAGCAGTAGTAGTGATTCCACAGAACTATTCTTCGCGCTGCAAGTCTGCTGCTGGCAGCTCTGCCTTTGTATTGGAAAGAATGGTTAAAACAGTAGCCACAGAATATTGGGAAACAGCAGTCTGTTATTCAACTTGCGGCATGCATTTTAAAGAATTGTCCGACGGACATACATACGGCAACAGAAAACTAGGTCATGAAATACACTGAAAATGTTCTCGTAGGTTCTAACAAAGCGTAATATAAGAGACTGCTGATAAAACTCAAATGCCTCAAAATCATGAACGCATCGGAAATTGTTTGTCAGTGGGAGCTAGAGAGCAGTGATAAACCTACGATACCCTTTTCAAGGACGACTCACCACTGTGTTATAGGATGCTAGTGTTACTCTTAATTGTCACCTGGTTGTAGAAGAGAAATTACTTTCTTAACCTCTGAGACAAACTAAGTTATGTGGGCAGTACAACATGACATTAAGTGCAACACAGTGTCGGTTATATACTTCTAGAGGTCTTATAACCAAATTGAAAGTACTTAGGGCTCTTACTAAAATACTTAGTGAAACGCCCATCAGAAACATACATCTGTGAAGAGATTCAAACCAAGACATGGCAACCAGGCAGCCAGATGCAGCCTGAAGTGCTACTCATATCTGCTGGAATGAGCTCTAAAACGAAAGTTCTTGCCGTTCACCCACGTCATTATCTCTTGAAGAGTATTCCAATTAATAGTCACCGCTTCAAGAAGAAAGTAGGTACTTAGTGGGAAAGGGTTAAAACAGGCTCCAAACTTTCTATTCCCAGTGAAAAATTCGTATGTGAAATTTATGGTCAATGGGGCTTTTGATTCAGTCATAACCTCCAGTATTTTTCTCATTCCTTTTGCAATATGACATGTGAGGGTCTATAGAATTTCCTGGAATAATTATTTGTTTCATTGCTTATGAGCCGATAGAATTATTAACCTAAGTAGATATTTCAATAATCCCTCCAACTACATAAGTGATGATAGTAGTCACAGTACCTACGAAATCCAAGACATTTGAGTGAACCAAAGTGTTGCTATTTGCTTTTAGTGAGAGGAAAATTAAATAAATTGAATGTTTTCCGATCTCGAGTACCGCGTATTATCTATGTTGCGCTACTTTAATTTGGCAAGGTCAGTCGCAAAAGTCTGTGTCATCTTGTAATTTTGAGCGTTTTTAAAACAAATTTTCAATGAAATTAATGTTGTTCGTATAAAATATTTATACGAAATTTATTCAATACTTTTGCAAACGTTCGCTGTTATATGTGGGAATCTCGAGAGCGCTGTAATGGTAATTAATTACGTTAACGTCTGCTGAATAATGTGTTCTAGGTGATCTTACAGTAATAGACAGATAACGATATTCGTAATATTCGTAATGAAGTATAAAACAGCGATTTGACATGAGATGTTGAAAACTACATATTGTATCAAACCTACTGTTGGGAATAAAGCTATGATTATTCATAAAAAAGGCTTTCAGAGTTGTTTGTTTTTCAATTAGAGGGTTATCTATATTTCGAATTCCAGAATGGGTAGTAAATTGGGGGTATTCAGTCCAATTCGTCAACACTGGAGTTTTTGTGTGATACTAAAAATGCATAGGGAATCTGGCACAGTGATAGCATAGCTTTGCCCACTGTAAACTTATAAAAACATAAAATTGTAGCTGATTTGTTTCCATGAGGAGTCTCAAAAGGTATAACCTTTGAAAAGTAAATGACGCCAACAGCAGATCTAATGCTAATCATAAGTGGTAACACGAATGATATTTATTTACTAATTGAAGAGATGATAGTACCTTCCTGGCATTGTTCCGTACGAATAATTTGGCTGCGCTCTAGTGTTAATGTTTGACACCATTAATTTGTAGGATAGTGCTTCCTTTTCATCCTGAGGAAACATAAATAACATTGTGAGTATAAAGAATGTTCGGCACTCAACTTTCTATTGCTTACTGCTCATGTAAATAATAAGTCCTGAAGGCTATAGTCTCAGGAAAACCTTTAACCTCACTTGCAGTACTCAAATCGGTACTCAATGCAATGGTCTTGAGAAGTGCAAGAAAAGCAGAAAGGACGATAAAATGTATGATTAAATTGTAGGAGCAGCTGTTGAGTTGCTTCAAATCGGTTCAATACTGTTACATAATAAGTTAGACAAGGAGCGTCTTCAAAAATAGAATGAAAACGCCATTCTAACAAGTAACTTATTTCGGCTACAAAAACATCTTATTTCCCATCTGATTGTATTTGATTGATAACACTAATATTATTTCTGGATGTACTTTATCTTGTATTGATTTTATGCAAATGTCTGATCAATTCCACTCATGTATGTAAATGAAGCAAGACAGTTATATGAGTGACTTGATATGATTATGAGCAATAATTTGTGTTCAAAACGTCATCAGTAAATATTACTGCATAGCACTGTATGATTTTATCAAAATAAAATCTTATCCATATTGGAGTTATACTCTACCACAGTGCCCAAGTTTTATACTTATGTCAATTAAAGATAGTTACTATTAGACTCATCTTAGACGAAGGCTTACTTGTAGATTGATACTGCTGTTTTGCTGCCTTTTCTCAGCTAAATTAGAGATTAACTCCCCTACGCATGGAATTAAGACTAATTTAAAATGATATGCCCTTCAATAGTATTTTTTGTGAGATTGCATCACTTTGTGTGGATATTCTTTAGCCGTGTCTTTCTCGTATGTTTATGGTGCTGTCATGTTATTTTGTGTGGTGTATATTTTGACTTACGAATTATGCGTAGATTGGGCTGGAATAATGTTACTGATACTTTCTAAGCGAAGCCTGTGTTTTAGGTTGACAGTATTAGTGATAGCGTAAACTGACTACTTTCAAGGAGCAACCTATGCAACAAATTTAAGCTGGTTATTCCTCAGCTAATTGATATTGTTTTGTCGAAATGAGCACTTACTGTCATTTTCGCTACCGTTTTCAAACACTGGATGAACAATCAATGCAACTAAGAACTGTTAATTTTGCTACATTCAATTCAAGGTATACTTCTTGATTACTGAACTGATACAATCAACCTGAATCTGTTTTTGTGAATAAGTTCATACAATCTATTTGTTTACCAGTGGTATACTCATGTGATTAGACATGCATAAACTATGCTTTCCCCTCGTTTTCACCTGAAAGTTACTTTAATCATACTTTTCTTTTTCAAATGCATAGATGAGTGTTCAGTCATTTCACTTATCGGAATTAGAGGAAAAAGCGCGTGCTAATGCACTCAAAAGAGTGTCGGATAACTTTCAAGTTGGTTCTCATACATTTGATTTGATCAACGTTTTCTCTTTTAGAAACCAGAACAACTGGATAAAATAGACCTTATCAAATCTCGGTTTTTAAACCAAAAGGTGTGTTAAGCAGTGTAAAAATATATACTCCCGCAATTCTTTAACAGACTGCCACAGAAGCCCAATTAAAGATGGCACTATACAGTCAATTGGATGGTAGTAAAGTTGGATTAGAAAAGTTGGATGCTGCTCTTGAGGAATCACATACCTGCAGAAATCGGTAAACGTTTTTATTTTATTGTGTCGTAGGCTCATCCAGTTGGGATCATCCTTGGGTACTTTGGCTGGTTTGTCTCGTCAGCTGCATGAACTAAAAAATCTTTCAACTAAATACAGTCAGGTAAAATATTTTATCTTTCCATCTCTTCTAACGAACACAAATATGTAGCTTGGTGCAGCTATGGAGAATATGAGCTATCTTGTCAAAGCACCTGAAAATTTTGAACAGGCTCGAAATTATATAGAATCGGAGAACCTTTTAGATGGTCACAAAATGTAGGCTGTTAAAGTTTGTACTAAGTCTCTTTATTTTATATAGAATGCAAGAATTGGAAGGTATTCGAGATGAATTAATGTACGAAGTGTTTCGACAAAAGTCCATGGAGGATTTAGATGTGTGTGGTTACTACGTTTCCCTCACACTTCACACTTATATATCGTTTTGTTTCTGTTATAGACATTACGTGCATTTTTCCGGGAACTTGAAGATTTGAATGAAATGTTTCGACATAAAATAATCATGCTTGGATCACGTTTAACTAGTGCAGTAATTACGCATAATCGTTTTGTTGTGAATTGTGTTCGTGTTATCGACCGCGAGGAAAGGTAATGTCTGTGTTTATTCTTCCTTTGCTCCACCTCCCACACAGTTATTTAATGTAAGACTGAATTGCAAACTTCCGCAGAATTTTAAAGCTTAACCTATTGAGAATATGTAACAGTGTTTTTGGCATGAAGTGTACGGCCTGCGAGTATTTAAAAAAATACTGTATCTTAGTGTTAGTTTTCAGTTCGCTGAGAAATAGTGTTACAACGTGCTTAACTGAATATGGCAGGCTTTACTACTAAGTGGTAATTATACATTATAATAAATGTACTACCATCAGTGATAGGCACAGTCTTAGTTAAGACATGTGTTATCTTTTTTGTATTTTTCATTTTCGCTGTACAAATTGTCCCGTTAAGTAACAGTTAATCCACTCAGGTGACTATTTGTATCTCACTTCAGCGTACAATACTACTGACTATTTTTTAACTTATGAGTACTTTTGCTGTCAGGCCTACAGCGCCCATTGTGTATCGTGTATTTATTTTATTTTATTCATGTATTTGTAATCGGAGAGCCTGTCAGGATATATTTTCTCTATTCGTGCTAACGATGGGGCTATGGCTTATTTGTTTAGGAGGTCGACATCCAACCACTAGGTTACAGTTCCTAACATCACTCCGCCTACTCAGGTTTTAGCAGCTAGGCAGCGCCATTATCCCTTAAACAACAGATGGTGCCTAAAGAAATGCAAGTGGTGGTTGAATAACATTTCCTCTTCCATATTTTCCTTTTATTTGTGCTAACAGAAAATAAGTTTTTTTTTTGAGCATACTAGAAAGGCATGAAGGTTTTATCAAGAACTTTCAGAGATGTTAGTTGAAACGAGTAATTCAGCTGTCATTCTCTCTTTTTTTATCATCTGCATAAAAGAAAGCAAAGACTACGACATCTGAAAGATTCTGTTTACCTTGAAAAGGCTTAGTCCAAGCAGTAGAATAATAATAAAACACCGATTTATTCTTTATTAAGTCACAAACTTAGCACCAGGAGATGTGCCACACAAAACCTCGTAGTTTATGCGACCTCTGGGAGACTGTCTGGATGCCCAGATCAAAGCAGGTGACAATAGGACATATCACCACTTAATCATAAAATGGGATTCTACATAATCACAGGTTTGTAAAATAGCCTACTTACTCATATGCAATGGATAGGCCTCCAAAGCCTCAGGATGGTCAGGGGTGGGTGCCTTGCGCTGCGGGTTGGCCACCCCTCCGCACACCTCTTGAAATGCTCCCATATGACCGGGCGTCTTACATAGCCTCTCCTGAGGAAGTCCTACTCACTGCCTTCACGTGGCGGAGGTGTTTTTCACCAGAGTGAGAGGGCGAAAGCGGATGCCCGGCGCTCTTCACCGGGTTGACTGTCCATTGGATGACAGTCTAGGAGAGATGGCTAAACCCTGATTCCAAACCTCCAATGACTGGCGTATGAAGCTCACTGGAACTCACCGGCAGACGTATGGACAAAGGGCTTGTTGGATGTCCTGGATGTCTGGCCCCATTCAAAAAGGTGTATGAACCGAACTCCGGTCACCGGCTGCCAATGGATAGTGGACTCCCTACTCCACTCCTACTGCCTTGTAGGTCACACTTGGTTGTGTAAAGGCTAGAGCTGCACTCTCAAACAAAAGGCCGAGCGATTCTTGGGACTTCACTCGTACCAAATCCCCATGAAACTTCATGAACTCTCATTCGAGATTTTCATGAAGCCGGCTCATCCTCCCGTAGGAGATAGCCGCAGTAAAGTAAGTAAGATAGGCATTAATAAAAAAACACTAAGTAATAGACGGTAGTAATATACAAGACATTACTTCAGATAGTTTAGAGTACTTAAAGAATTAGGACCAATGGCATAAGGTATGTTACCAAGGCGTTAAATCATAAGTAGACTAACACATTCAAATTTATTCAGATACTGTCAGCTGTGAATATAGGTGTCACTCAGATCGCCGATAATCACTGTTCTCATCCAGATAACTTTGTTTGATTCTGTCGTTCTTATTGTATTCTTACTTCCAGTGTCTAAATTCTTAATTGAAGAGGAACCATGTAGACGAGGGGAAAATGAAACTATTAGTCTGGATATTAGGAGTGAATACACGCTGTGTTTACGGTACACCTGTAAATTGAATAAATTCCATATTTACTTAGCTTATTAGTGTCTTTAGTTAAGATTCTGTTACTTCCACGCCCCACCCCCCCCCCCAATAACTAGCTTATTCTATTAAACAACTAGAATTACCTTTCATTCAACTAGCTAACCAAGCCTATCTTACCAAGATTGCTTTTTACGTTTAGACTTTCTAGGGCCCATATGGCCTTACCATATATTATTATTATTATTGTTAAAGGTTAACATTACTTATGTTTGATCATTATCAGGGCTGATGCAACTTGGCGGAAAAAGTCAGAAAAACATGGTTTTATGCCGGATGGACGACCGAAACAATGGAAGAAACTACTGTTTGACAGTGTTTTTAACAATATAAAAAATAAGTAAGTGAAACTAATATTTCTATGAAATATGTCAGATTCTATCAGCCCCTTAGCTTTTTTGTTAGTCTGGTACTTCGTTGTGTAAGCAAATGGTAAATTCAAGGTATTCAGCAGAATGTTCGCCAGTCACACACGGGAGGTGTAAGTTCAACTCCTGACGGACTCATTCTTAGACCTTGCCTAAATCCGGAAAGGAGGGAAGATTAGACATGAAACTAGCAACTTCAATCTGTAAAAAAGAATATTTCCGCTCTGAAACTTTGAAGCTTGAAGTCGTATGTTCCACTCGGAGTGAAAGAAGTAGTTATAGTAAAATGAGAGTATATTTCAAACACCGGTAAAGCTGGTTTTTATGTTGGTTTGGTTTTTGGGTGTCTCATAGGCTGAGTCAACATTGTGGACTGTGCAGTGTTGCAAATACGCATTCAACTTTCCGTAGTTATATTTAGGTGGCTTTCATATTCGTGTTATGTCGCGAAGAAGACATCTTTTTGCCCTTTAATAGTAAAGTATGCTGCACACCCTCTGTAAAAGTTTCTCCGGAGAAGAAGAAGAAGGATCTGAGGTCATGATCACTTGACCTTCCCAAGTGGACTGAAGGGTACCTGTCTAT